GATTGATGTAGCCTATCACATTGGCGAACGTTACTTCACCCAAGATCGGCACACGTTCCTTAAACTCATCCACTTCCGTTTGAAAGCCAAGGGATTTGAGTGAGTTAACTAGGTAATTGCGGACCTGCTGATGGCCGCGGCTACCAACAACGCGTGGCACTAAAATGGCTTCCAAGCTGCTGTTAAAATGCGCCTCATCGTCAGCCAATGGCGGCGCTGTGTGCAGCTGTTGATCAAACAAAAATCATCATTTCTCAGTAAAAAAGGGAATTTACTTTTCTTGAGATCTTACGTTGGCCTGTTGGGCGAGTGCGTAATCAACTAATGCCATCAGCCCAACGATGAGCAAAATGTAATCAAGAGACGCCTTCATTATCGCATTCACAAAGAGCGTCTGAACAAAAGCAAGCTTTATGGAGCACTGAAGCCGATCTGTCTCCGAATGGTATGAAACCAATTTCCATTGCTATGGTAATATGTATTTCCTTGTGTTGTTGGTTCTCTCGATACAGATGTTAACAATTTGTTGCGCATTGGACGCAAGCAGCACTCAAACGGTAGATGTGCGTTTGTGTGCGTGTACAAAGCTTTTCACCACGACTTTGAGCAGAGCTTTGAATGAGTGCATAGAGCGTACAAAACACACTGAGTAAAGCTCGTTAACAAAAAGCCCGTCTTCTGTATTTATTCAATATGCAAATGACGTAAGCTTTAAAAGCGTAAGCATTATACGTTAATTTTAAAGCAATATTCACTGCGTGCGCGGTTTAAAGCATATTCTTATTTGAATTTGTTGTTTAATTTAATTCAATAAAATATTATAATCTGCTAAAATATTTATAATAATTATTATCCATATTTGTCAATTCTTGATAGGAATTCAATACGATTTTCCAAATACTCGTAAACGAATTGGGGAAAAATCAAGTTCATATTACGTATTGCTGGCCAGTAGAGATTCGCTAAGTTATCCTTCTCTGTGTGCCAATATTCTGGATAAGTATGGGGCACTATATGCAGAGCTATCACGCCTAAAATCAAATTAAATTAGCTAGACAATAAATAAATGCGAATAATAGGAACCTTCACTTATAAAGGGATAATGATCGTCTTCAATGTCGCTATCATGATCTTTGACCTTATGGAACAGCTTGTGGCACTCGGTGAGCTGACCCGCTTTTCTCAGCTCCGCCTCGATGTCTGCCAGGCGCTCATGCAAGATATACGTATTACTAAAGTGGCTCAGAAAGATATGATCCGGCGCGCCAATAAGGTTTAATGAAATGATTAACTCCTGGGGGATAAAAATATGTCTGATTATAATTCATAGATGTCATGCAATAATTATATCAACCTACAATACTTCGTAGGGGCATAGTTTCGATCGCAGCAAAGTGTCGCGAACCGTTAAGAGAATTGATATCTTCTTTGACGTCCAGCATGGACTCGTGGCCGTCAAAAAACACTAGCTAAAAGTTAAAGGAAATTTATATATTTTGGTTAGCTATTACAAATTTATAGATGACCAACCATCAAGCCAATATCCTCTTTGCGGGAGAACTGCTCACGAAGGTACTCATGTAACACCCTGGCCATGTGGAGAAGTATCGCACAGGAAACGGCGCCATCTGTGGCACCCACATAGTCCGGAGAGTTTTTCAAAAACTTCGAGTCGTAATGACAGGTGAGCAATAGGAAACTTGGGGCATCTATATTCATAATACCCAAAATATTGGTAAACGTTCGTTGGTCAAAGAACTGGTCGCGGAACGCAATAAACCCAAGTGAACCCAGTTGGTCAAAGAGAAAACTGGCCACTTCCTCGTGACCCGGGCTGTCCATCCACCGAGGCTTGAGAATGTTGGCAAGCGTATGATTGAAATATAATTCATCGTGTCTAATCGTAAACGAGCGCTGCCAGAGATACAGCAAAATCAGGAGGCTGAGTATCAGCAGAACAATGCTAACTCTCGACACGATGCGAGCTACACGAAACATTGCTAGAGACTAATCTCAATTCAGTGCCAGGAAACTCGCCAATATGGAGTGGAACGAGTGCATTTGCTACAGAGTGGAAAAGAAGTGTGACTAAAGCAATTCGATTATACACATGCACAAGACATTTTTACTTGAATATTAATATACCAAATATGAAATCTCTAAAATGTACTACTAATGCTACAAACTCTGCAAGACTACTTGGGTTTCTGGTGGGTGGAGTCCTGCCTTAGATTCTGTACCCGTTGCAGAATCTCTGTGCCTTGACTGAGGAGTGATGGGCCCCGGGACACTGACACAAAGCTGGGAGCATATTGCCTGGAAGCGCGGGTCTTGACGACGGCCACGCGATGCAGTTTCTTGGATCGGAACTCGTCGCGGGACAGAGTGCGCAGGCTGGAGCCCTCGTGCCAGGTGTGCTTGGTGTGGGCTATGCGACGCCTGCCTTCACCGCAGCACGGCTGATGCCACATGCGCTGATCCTTGCCGAAGTTATTGCCATCGCTGAGCGTCTGGGGCAGATCCTCGTACAGAGTCTCTGGCAGGAATAAGCAGATGATGCCACCCACAATGCCCAAGCCGCCCAGGGTGTTCAGCATGAGGGAGACCGAGAGGTTGGACAGATAGATAACCGGCGGGGACAGCAGCATGGCAGCAAATCCGAGGGTATGGATTAGCGATATACCCTGTGCCCGCACCACCGTCGGCAGCACCTCGGCGGCCCACTGCAGGCCGATGTTGTAGCAGACATTGGCAAAGAAGCGACCCGCCAGAGCGGCAACCAGAGTATGAGTGGGATGGGACAGATTCGCGCCCACCAGGCTGAACAGCCCGCTCAGCGTGGTGAAGGTGAAGGCGCACCAGCGACGCCCAAAGCGATCGAGCGTGACGATGACGAGCAGGTCGCCCGGCAGCTCAGTGGCGCAGGCTATGGTAAACACCACGGCCACGTTCTCCTTGTCCAGCACCGAGGCGGCTCGAACATGGCCATCGTATAGCAGTGACATGATCATCCAGATCAGGCACATGAACACCATGTAGCGCGCCAGGCGCGGACGCTTGAAGATCGAGAAGACCGTGAAGTTGCGGCCCTCGAACTCCTCCTTGTAGAACAGTTCGCAGCTCTCGCGGAATCGCTTCCAATAGACTGGGGGCACGACGCGCTTGTTTCGCGCTGCCACACGCTTGAGTATATCGATGGCATCGTCGATCTTGCCCCGCGACACCAGCCAGCGCGCCGACTCGGGCAGGCAGCAGAACGAAACGAATCCAAAGGCCAGCGGAATGCAGCCATACAGAGCAAACGAGCGCCAGCTGTGCAGATATATGGCTATCCAGGGTATGAGCATGGTGAACGGCGAGTAGAACATGGCCAGCGACATATTGGCCACAAAGGTGCGATACTTGGGACCCACATATTCGAGCACTATTCAAAATATAAGGCGAATGAGTGATCAAAAGTAATCGGAGAGAAAACTATGGAGTTATTATACTCAGTATATAGATCATGGTGAAGCAAGTGTCGTAGGCGGCACCCACAATCAGCCGTGTGACCACAAAGCTCCAAAAGTTCTTGGTCATGCCCGTGAAGAGGCTGCCGAAGAATGCCAGGGAGCAGCTGCTGACCAGCGCAGCCAGGCGTCCGCAGTGATCCGCAAAGTGTCCGTAGCCCAGGCAGCCCAGCACCGAGCCGAGGAAGAAGATCATTTGGGCATAGGTGGCATAGAAGTCATTGTCGCACACCCAGCCAAACTCGATGTTGGCCGTGAAGAATGCCTCGCTGCTGCTGAAGACATAGCCCTCCCGGCAGGGTATTCTGGGCAGGGAGCTATTCATGAATTGGGTGCGATTCTTGGCCTTATAGATGGCCGTATAGTTGGTGTCGTACATTTCGCAGCGACTGTAGCTGCCGTCCTTCAGCTTGGGTATGGACAGCTCCTTGCGCTCCTGCTCGCTCTCAATCAGAGTCAAATCATGCACAAAGCAATAGTATTTCTCGGGCGTCAGCGTCATAAAGATCTGGCTGAGATACACATAGGCGGAGATGAAGCAAAACGGTATCATTAACAGGAACAACATTTTCTGGTAGCACCCGAATTCGCCAATTTCCGGCAAAAGGTCATCAAAGTCGATGTACGTATCGATTTCCACGGCGGACGGCCTCGATTTGTCCTCATCCGATGCGATGCTGCTGTTCTCAGATTGAATACGAAAGTCCCGACCATGGTAGCTGCCTGTCTGCTGAGATTTCTCCTCTGACGTTCTGTGTGGCAGTCTCTCTGCAGTGTTATCACTAGATATACATATATTTGTACAGATGAGTAATACCCATGAGTAATACTAAACACTCACTTATTGTCTCCCGTGTCCCCTGTTGCCTGAGTTCCAATATCCCGTTTCTGCATTTTCCTGACCATCCATAGAAAACGGAATCCGGCTCTGACAAAGCAATTATGTATCGAAGTCAAGGCGCCGCCTCCTGCTTCGATTCGAATGCTGCTCGCTCATGTGATTCATCAAGTTTCCAAGCGACTGACTGCTCCCGTTTCCTGTCAGACGACAATCTGCGGCTTATTGACGCCATCGACGTCCATTAGTCCCTCGCATGGATGGTGGGAGTCAGAGTGAATTGTCGACTCATTGCAGCATCGTTTAATTACCCAAACAAAACCGCTCGGCCCACTTCCAATCAAAATGAGTGCACAGAGCAAACACTGCAAATTTGTGGCTTACAATTAAATTAAATGAAGGCACAGCCAGGGAACCAGCTGGGGACATTGCGTATACGCCGCAGGGCCCCCAAGGACCACCCGTTGCATGCAAATCGTTCCATTGCCAATGCCAATGCGAAAAGCCGCCTGTTGCTATACGGGCCAGGGCGCATGCGTTGCCCAGCAGCAGCAGCAGCAGCAGCAGAAGTAAAGTGTGGGGGAGGGGCGGGGGATGTCGTTTCGAACATCCATTCATAAAATGCCGCACGCTGTTCGAAATTGTGGCCATGTTTCGCGATGCGAAAACAGTTCTGGCGCGTCTTTCAAAGCGATTGGTTGCCGGAGTCGGAGCAAACTGCATTTACGGCAATTCACGGCGTGACGGGCAGAAATACGCCGCATAAATCAGTGTCATAAATCTGCGTGCGTTGTATATGAAATTAAGTGTCCGTATTTACAGATAGCGCTAAGCAGCCCAATGACAGGCCGCAACATATCCTAAAGAGCAGCCCAAGCACAGGCAGCCATAAACAAGTCGGCGGCGCCCTAAGACAAACTGCCGCCCAGTGCCCCCAAAGCAAGTGTCAGAAAGCAATGAATAAGTGGCGGCTGCCGTCATACAAATGAAACGCCCAATGTACGATATATATGTACATAAATATATGAATATGTATGTATGTATTTACATATAAGTTATTGGATTAAGAGTCCCTCGCAATGGCAATACTCGAGTCCTGCTGCTTCTGGAAGAATGTGCGGCAGGGCAGCTTCGCCTGCGCCTTTTACACTCTGGTGAGTAATCAATTATGCGAGATTTTTGATTTCTTTTGCATGACAAACTTAAACAAGATAAACAGATGATGGGCTTAGCTTAGCTTGCCACACACACACACACACACATACACTGACTTTAAGCCTGAAATCATGCAGAAAGTTTAGAGCCAAAAAGCAAAGTGAGAAGCTGAACGCGAACGGGATTATCAAGTAAGCTGTAAAGTGGGAAAAGTAAAAGAAAGTTTACTTGAATTTAAGATGAACGCGAAGAGGGAAACTTAGAAACTTAACTTGAAGCAGAGTGAGAAGCAGAGTGAGAAGAGTGTAGTAAATCAAAATGTTGAGCTTGTAGTATTGAAATATATTGCCGAATTCAAAGCAACAAAAATCAAAAAGGCAATAAATAATAAGTTAATAATTTGCAAGCAAAGTGAGAAGCAGAGGGATAAGCAATGTAGTGCAGTAGTCCAGGAAGCATTTTTATATTGAGCTGAACTCTAGCTAAAATCAATGCAATAAATGATATCAAATTGTTCACTTAGCCAAGCCAGAAACTAATTAGCAGTGCTATATTTAAAGCTAATCAATAATAAGTTAATAAATTACAGAGTATTGAGAAACAAACTGAGCGGAACAAGTGGCACAGTAGTGCAGCAGACCAGGATGTTGAGCTGGGAGCATTGATATATATGTATCTGGTTGTAGATGAACTCTTGCCAAAGTCAATGCAATTACGTCGAATCGACTTGAGCATTGAGCCAAGCAAGAAACTAATTAGCAAAGCAATAAGTGCAATGAGAAGCAAAACTAGAAGTCAAACGGGAAACAAAGCCAGCAGCTGCACATAGAGAGCCAGGAGCCAGGAGCTGAGAGCTGAGAGCTGATTGCTGACTGCTGAGGCAGTCGTTGCAAAAACCAATGCAAGAGATGAAGCGAGCTTGGAAACAGGTATCCAAGCGAGCATCCAAGTAAGAAACAAAGAAAGCGAGACGCAATATGAAGTGTAGGCAAATGGAACAAGTCAAGCGAGAGGCGGAAGTAATTGCGTGACAAAACGTTGAGCCGAGCGCGAGCAACTTACTGAGCCAAGCAAGGGGAACTAAGCAGGAAGCACTAGCAATGGCGAATTACGCTGTTGTCGACGTCATGCCCGACAAAGTGTTTGAGTCCCAAAGGAATCGGGTTACGACAGATACCATAAAAGAAATGTTCAGGCAACAATTCCAGCATGCAACGAATGTCAACAAAGTTCATTCAATCAGGGAAAAACTTTTCTCTGACAGCAAACCAAAAAAATTTGCAACAAATTGCAGCAGCAGAAATGCATTGAAAATTCTGAATATTGAGGAATAAATAAATTACCAATTTCTGAATTTAAATATGCACATTTCTTTATAATCTTTACCTTTCAACAATTACCTTTTTTCATCCAACATTTTCAGATTTACTTTGGCCTGTCCACGTTAATGTTCACGTTCTATTTGAAAGAGGAGCAGGACTTTTTGCTGGGTCGCAGCACACAGCCGTTGGGTGAGAGCATCTTGGAGAAGGGCGATGTAACTGTAGGTGAGAGCAACATCTTGGGCCAGCCCATGCCCCATGCCACATGCCGCATGGCAGATGTAACAAATGTTGATTGACGTAATTTGTGATTGCAGTAACTGTGATATTCAACATTTTGTTTTTGTTTTGCTCGATGCTGATGGTCTTGGCGTCCCTTTTGCTGATTGCGGGACTGCGGAATGTGAGTGTTGGGTGGTTGCAAATGGGTCCTTGACATTGTCTAACAGCCGCTCACCTGTTCGTCTCTCATCCAGAACAAACGCCAATTGCTGTTGCCCTGGATTGGTTTGATGCTCTGCGATTTGCTTATTGAGATCGCCCATCTGGTCCATCTGACATTGTCACGCCGCGTGGTGTTCGATCCCATTGTCGGCTTCATATTCACGCTAGACTTCTTCATACTCTGTCTGAATGTGAGTGACAATGCACAACGAAAATATCAACTTAACCTAATTAGCCTCAAATTTGATTCAATTTCAAGCTCTACTGTTTGCTCTGTGTGGTTTCCCAGTATCAAACTTATCGCACACAGCGCGCCGAGCAACAACAGCATCCAGCGATGTCGGTGAGTCCTTGCGGAAATATGTAAAGCCAAAATGCAACCAAATAGTTCGGTTTCCATTCAACTAGCCCACTGTGGTCTTTACGGAGCCCGAGAAGCAGGGCAAAACAAAGCGGCAACTGTTAACGGCTTCAAATGCTGCCAAAGGGAAAAGGCATTCACATCGCCTGCTGGCTGCGAGTCCTTTGATCACGTCACAGCGGCCAACCAACTTTTCCACCATCACCGAAGAGGAGGAGCAAACACAGCAGCAGCAGCAGCAGCAGCAGAGCAAAGGAGTTGCAACCCCAACAACAGCAGCAGCAGCAGCGGGAGGTATTTTAGGGTCAAAGGACACCTAAGGACATTAACAATGCTTGTGCTCGTTTCAGCTGTCAATGGCCATAACGATAACGGTCACATTCCGGAACAGTCGCCATCCCAATCCAGCGAAGCGGCAGAGCCTTCCAATGTCAATATACCAATTATTACTCTAGATCCCAATTCGCTGCAATGATGCAGCTGCTCCGTTTGACAACGACATGGGACACTTTGAAGTGGACCCATACACGCACACACACATACACACGTAGAGTTGACCTATTTTTACATGTATGGTTAAAGTAAAATTCTCATAAATGCCATCAAGCACAAGTGTCGTCTCTTCACTCATGTTGCCGTCGTCCACAGAACTTGTTCGCAGCATCCGCTCGGCGCTGCCGCACCCTTAATTTCCTGTGCCCCGCAGCCAACGCAGCCGAGAGCCCACTTGTTGTATAACTCTTAAACTACAGCGACTTGTGATTGACAATGATTAACGTGCAGCACGGGCTTCCTTCATTAATACTGTGGCAGGCTGAAAGTGATTTGTGTACAGGTGCTTTGTGTAACAGGTAAAAGAAATCTCAAATGTCATCTGTCAGCCTACATAGTTTATACATATATATATATATATAGGTATAGCATATATACTCTTTAATGTTTAAAGACATTTTTCTCTAGGGCCATGACTTAGCCGTATTATTAGCATGCAATTGTTTGATGTTGATTTCCAGAGAGATCAAATCAAATCAAAGAGATGGGGCCGTCGATATTAAAGGCAAACATTTATGTGTGTGAATGGGTCGGCTTACTGTTTATTATACGCACACATACATTTATACAAATTTATCAAACTTAATCAAAAGCTCCACACAGGAAGTTAAATCCCCCAGCTCATGTGACTGTGCCTGAAGGGTAAAGCCTGTTGTGCCGGCAGACGACAGCTAACAAGCTGCCCTTCATACAGTAGAAGGGTAATTGAATACCTTACTCAAAAAAAGAAAGCAAAGCAATAAAACAATTTATAGCAAGACATATGTTAGAGCATATGCAGTCTATATGTATGTGTATAAACAAGTAATGCATCAAGAGAGACAGACAGAGAGACTTTCTATAGCAGAGAAACGTTAGCATTGTCCCAGGTCAAGTGCGACGCGAAAACAATTTAAATTTAATTAATGCAGCAGGACAGCTCAGCTTAAGTTCCACGCAGCATTAACTAAATTAAATTTTAAACAGCTAAAGCCGGACTCCTAGCGCCTGACAAATTGCTGGCCGAGCTCGAAAAGTTCGTGTTTACTGGCCGGGAGCATTTCGACGAAAGGTAGGGTCTCATTTAATGTCACTTAATCACTCTTTTAGATTGGATCTCTTAATTACAAGCTGCAGAGCGCATTGCGTGCAGCCGGGTTGGATAGCTGCAGGGCCTGAAGCAGCCGCTGAGCTGTGAATGGCAGAGCAAAAACTGCAGCAAGTACAAGTGTGCGTGTGTGTGTGTGTGGGTGGTGTTTGTGTGGTTGTTATCAATGTTGCAACAGTTGCCACAGCTGCGCACAGGTATTAAGCATCAGCTCTGGCATTTGCCAAACTGCAAACAAAGTAGCAAAACGAACCACTCAACCACTCTGAAGCAGATAGACAGACAGACAGATAGAGTGAGAGAGAGAGAGAGAGAGTCATATAGCAGCACTTAGGGCAGTTGACCCTTATTAGCTGCTGAAAAGTCGAAATTTTGGCTGAACAAATATCAACACAGCTGTCGGACTTATCCCAGCGAACGGAAAGATAATAACTCCCATGACAAGATGTCACAAAAGCCTCGGAAAGTGGATTTATAATGGGTTTCGCATTTATTTTATGTTTTTATTTATTTTTTGTTATTTAAGTGCAACTGCGAAACGTGCTGCAGGACATATTCTATACAAATAAAAAAAGAAAAAAAAAGAGAGAAAGAGAGAGAGAGAGGGAGGGAGGTTGGGCAAACTTAATCCGAATTAAATTTCAACAATGTAAACACGCTTGACCCACAGCGATTCCCTGTTAACATAAAAAGCATTTTTCGCTGGAAAAATATCCTTTACCTCTACACTCTCCTGAAAGTATCCAATTAATGGGTTTATATTATATATTTGCGGGCATTATCCAGCATAGCTCCAACTAAGTTTCTTTGCACTAATTTATATCCGTGGCAGAGCAAAAAATGTCCCTAGTAGCTATTTTTAGCGCATTTTTCCTCTGCATAGAAAAAGTTTCCATTTTATCTGATGAAAAGCAAAATGTTGTAATTAGTGGTTTTTAATTTTTGTTTTTTTTTTTTATTCCTACCGTGGGCTGCAGGTGCTTCAGCAGTTCAGCTAACTGTAGCTCATCCGATTAGCAGGTAGGAAATATTTGAAATTAAGTTTTTAATTGAATTCAAAAAGTTTTAATTTAAATTGTGGTGCTTAGCTTTGCTGTCCATATTTTATTTGCATATTAAATGTTATTACATTTTTTATATATATTTTATTTATTTATACTTTTTATTTTTTTATAGTTTCCAAGAACTTGTAAAAAGTTTTCATATATATTTTTATTTTTTATAGTTCAGAGAAAATTTTAGTGTTTTTTTATTTTCCGTAATATCTATGAATCTATATATCTAATGAATATCCTATATATAAATAAATCTATGTATAGTCCTGCCCACTCGCTAAATTGATAACAAAGCATTTCAATTCACAGGGTATCTCTTAACCAAAGTGAAGCCAGCTGCAGCCCTCTCCCCAAGCAGCTCAAACATAAAAGTTTCACAAGTGGCATTATTTCACATTATTTCTGGAATTTAATTACAATTAAAAAATTGCTCAGTTTCTAACAAATTATTGTGGAATTTCGCAATGAACTAATATTTATGCAGATCTGTTGATGCGTGTAATAAATATGCATTAGAAACTTTAGAGTCACGGCGACCGTGAAATTACATGCATAACTTTGAAACCCATCAGAGAGAGAAAGAGAGAGAGAGAGAGAGAGAGAGAGAGAGAGAGAGAGAGGGAGGGAGCGAGAGTCAGAGAGTAACAGAGATTTTGATTGCACCTGTCAATCCTTGCTGCGGTTGCCATTGCAATTCCCATTGCTCGTCCATTTGCTTAACAAAGTTTTGTGCTCGCAGCTTTTGTTGTGATTGCCCAACTGACGCCCACAACCATGCCCACTACCATACACCAGCTGCAATGTAATTAGCGCAGAGTAGAAAGCTACTTGCACGCCAGCATCATGTGTGGCTCAATGCAATGTCTAATGGCGGTTTCAGACATTCTATGGCTATTATGGGTTCTCCATTAGTGTTGAAGTGCGAACGGTTATTACAATAATTGCCCGGCACGAGACAGCTGAACTAGTACTTAGCTGAGGATTTAATTACCGCACAAGTGAATTGAAGCATCCCACACACACACACGCACATACGCACACATATACATAAGTTTGTGGTCTTGCGTTTAAGCGTGAGCCAAGTTTGGCAATACAGAGCCTGACATGCCACTTGTGGCACGAAACATTTTACGCATTTCAAATAACAACAGAAATGACAAAAACAACAACAACAAGAAAACTGTCCCAAAATGTTGTGTGCCGTGGCAATGGCAGCTGCACATAAATAACAAAGTCGCAAAGGCACTTACATAAGTTGATTAAATTCTCGCTCTCACTCTCACTCACACTCACTGTGTGTGTGTGTGTGTGTGCGTTTGTGCATGAATACTTGAATAAAATGGCACAAGTTGTCATCAAATTTCATTGAGAGGCTCTTTAAATTGGCCAACACATATCAAAACGTTTACAAATTTAAGGCACTAGGCTGGGAGTCCTCGTCTGCTGCTGCCGCCGCTTGATTTATCGTGCATGACAACTGAGCCATGTTATATTTTAAGCCATAGATATTCAGCCATGCTCTGTTTGTCACTTGCTTTTATTGCGTATACGCAGCCTGTGGCAGGCAACAAGCGGCGCACGCTCATCTCAGCTCCCAGCTCCCAGTTCAAGTTTACAGTACTTGGACATTTACGAGCCTCTCAGATTTACGAGCATGTGTATTAAGGCATCTTTATATACACATATACTCATATCTATATCTATATATACTTATATATTTCTATAATGCCACAGATGCCAGGCACTCGCTCAATGGGAAAATTAGCATATAAAACGAGACAGATTAGCACATCAGGCACACGAATCTAGTCTGCAAATGAATTGAGAGCGGCTAGAGCGATGTGCCCTATGAATTATGAATTATGCGTGCACATATATTAGGGCATGCAGCCATTAAGACTTCCCTGACATATTACAGAATATGTCTAATCAATATTAGGCATACACGCACATACATTTCATTTCAGGTTCTGTAAACTGGAAAACATACATATGTGGGCATTGGAATTATGAGCAGAGAATGAGCTTGATCATTATGGCTGCATATTATATAGAGATTAAGTCAAATACAATATGAAATGAAATCTTGAAACAAACATCTTTATACCTAGAGACTTCACTATTTGAGAATGGGAATTGCTGACAGAGATTCATCTTAGAGCATATTTCGCATTCGTATGGCACTTTGCACTTTGTCAAGTTTTTCTTTTATGTATCTAAGCTAGAAAGTTCTATTTGCCATTCAAACAATAGAAAAGAGCAATGGAATAATTCAAATAGTAGCTAAAGTTGTTTTGGCAATGAAATTTAAGAGCCAAAAATGCGCTGCGCTGCACAGAAAATAATAGCTTTAAATGCTAATTAAATAAATAAATGCTGAAATGCTGACTAGGGCTGAGCTAAACCAATTACAATTACGAAGACTGAGGAGCAATAAAATCTGCGTGCTTTTAGTACCAATTAAGAATAATAAACTATAAACCGCTTAGATAATTACGTGCGGCACAAAAAGAACAACTCAATCAAATATGCTGAGCACTTGGCGAATTTTTGAGCTGTTTTGCTGTTGGCCAAATCACATAATTCAAAAGCTAGACTAATTATGCTCCAGCGACTTGGGCCTTAGCCAGCACGTTTAATCAGACTTTCGGCCCGAGGCTGGGCAGACATTGGCAATAAATTGCGGACGCAAATTATGTGGGTAAGTGAAAGCATCAATCTTGGCGGGCAAGGCCAGGCTGAGTGACACCTTGTTAACGCTGAGAAATGTTTGTGCTGGGTAAATATATGTTATTGAGTTCGCGCATTGCCTCGAAAAAATAAGCCGAGTTAAAAACAAAAGCTTGGTAATACCCTTTTCACAGAGCATTACGCAGCATTACTTGCAAATGAGCAACCATTTAATTTCTCTGTTTTAC